TGTGTGTGTGTGTGTGTAGCTTGCCAATTACTCTTAAGATGAGAAGTCTGACATTTTATTTTTGATGGTAGTGGAAGAAAAACAACTTCCTTAAATGGTAAATGGCCTATATTTGTATAGTGCTTTTACTAGTCCCCCCTAGGGACCCCAAAGCGCTTTACACACCCAGTCATCCACCCATTCACACCCACATTCACACACTGGTGGAGGCAAGCTACAGTTGTAGCCACAGCTGCCCTGGGGCAGACTGACAGAAGCGAGGCTGCCATATCGCACCAGATCTGATGATTGTGGAGGCCATTTGAGTAGAGTTGAGTTTTGTGACAGGATGTCTTATCCTGTTGGAAGCATCCATCAGAAGATCGGTATACACTGGTTATTAAGGGATGGACTTGGTCGGCAACAATACGAGTCTGTAGTGTTTAAACAATGTTCGCTTGATACTAAGGAGTGATCAGGCGTCTCATCAGACCCAGACCAGGCAGTGTTTTTCTGAACTTCTACTGTCCAAACTCCCTTCAGTCACCTTTCTTCTTTATTCTGATGTTCAGTTTGAACTTCTGCAGGTCATCACGAATGCCTGACTTGATTAGCTGATTCAATATTCATGTTAAGAAGCTAATACAGTGGGCAATGAGTGCATATTCTCAGCTTTCTGCCTTTCAGCACGTACTCGCTGTTTCTCTCCATTAAACTGACCCAGTTTGTAGTTTTGCCATTGACATACGAAATAAATAATTTGAAGGCACTCTTTCAACTTGTGATGGTCTCCAATGAATTATCTAGCATATTTTATCAAAAATATTTATTACATTAAAGCACATTTGAGTCACATCTCATTTATTGTTGTCTAAAGCACTACAATCATCTTGTTCAACTGCAGAGGCGTACTTTTGCTGCATGCTTGTGTGCACAGGGTATGTTTGTATGTACTTGACATTCTCACACACGTGCATTATTTGTCCATAGATAGAACTGCTGTTGATTTTCTATTTGTGTACAGCTTGAAAGTCAGTAACGCACGGAGACCGACATCAGTCAAGAGACACTCACTCATGTCAGGAAGCTATCAGCAGTTCTGAAGCATTCATTGAAACAAATGTTTACTCAAGCATGTTAGATCAGCGTTACAGGCTGCAATGTTGCATTTGCTCACTGTACAAATCCAAGATTTACGCTAGAGATTCTCCGGGTGTGCAAATAATCCGCAGAATGATGCAGAAGCAACCAAATCACATACACTCCCGGTGTTATAATTTTGTGGATAAATTTGTCACTTGCTATTAAAGGTGTAAGTTTTTTTTACCCAAGTGCACAGTATAGCGATACACTTTTAGAATATATTTATATGGCTTCCTTAGTTTAATCTCTTGGAGGAAATACTTATCTAGACTCTCTGAGGAGGATATAAGAACAGCCCCTGGATGTCTGCATTTTAAAATCCCTAGTGTGCACAGTTAGCCTTTTAAATTTCATCATTTTAATTATAAATACTTATTTCTGGAATATCTTTGTGCCAGCTTATGTGTTTTGGATACTCCGTACGTGTGTGCGCGCGTGTGCACGCGTGTTTGTAGTATTTATGCTGTCTGGCACTTTTAAGAGAATCCCAAGGTGACATTTCTTTGAAACGGAGTGCAGGAAAGGCCACGCGCCTCCTCTTATGTGTGTCTGTTTGTGTGTGGGGGGTGGGGTGGGAAGGTGAGTGTTTGTGTGTCGAAGGGTTATCTGAAAAGTCACGGCTGGTTGAGTTTGCCTTTTGTTCTCTGTACACCTCCAGCCAATTAAGAGACAAGACTGACAAATCTTCTCCTCCTCTTTCTCCACCTCACCTACCCCCGCCCGTGCATCGTGCTCTCTTTTCCCCCTCCTTTGTGTCGCCTCTTTATCCTCTCTTCCTTTCCTCGACTTTTT